ACACTTGTATCGGCCTCAGTGCTAGCACAAATCCCCAATATTTAGCGAAACGTACTAACAACTGGCATACCTAACATACATATAAACATACGTACTTAGATACATATGTACTTGTTGTTACACCGCCTCTCCTTACCACCTTTATCCACCTTTGCATGTATGCGATTCCGTACGCTGCGATTGGTTGAGTGCTCGCGTGTGGCCACTCCCTTATTGACTTTTTCCGTTGGCTGCGTCTGCTCAGTGTAATGTTTTTCCCCATTCATTTCATTCGCTTTGTTTTAGTTTGTCTTTATAATTCGTTTTGTTTTTGCTTTTACAATAAATGCTACCATTTTTCTTTCTCTTCATTAATATTATATATATGTATATAAGAGTATACATATATGTGAGTGCGTGTGTGTTTAAATGCATAAATATACATACGTACGTATATACAAAACTTTTTTAGGTGAAATGTTCGCTTTAATGAAGCTTCAGTCAGTTCTATAGATTTTAGTATTAAGTAGACAAATTACGTACAAGTATAAATGTGTATTAAAATGTGTGTATTCAAATATATATACATATGTATGTATGTAAACTTGTGCATATTTCACCTTGCATGCCTTCAGGTAATTTCAGTCTATCGATTTTCCATTTTCCGCAGATATATTTGCATGTTCTTTGTTATATTATTTTGTAAGTTAGAAAAATTTCTTAAAATTTCTCAGTATTTTTGTTTAGTTTTGTTATAAATATATATGTTTGTATCTAATTAACTTGGAACATGCTTTATTGCGAAATTAGCATTCTAATAATCCGAATTATGCAAAATTGGTCATACATATATACACGTAAATTCATAATACATACGAAATTCATATGTATATATTTTTCATTTTTTTTCGAAATCTAAGAGATTAAGTAATGGCTGTGGGCGACTTGGCTAATAAATACCTCTTTTAGATGAAGAATTTATTAAAATTATTTGATATTGTTCTAGGAAAAGAAAGTCGATCCCAAGAAAAAGATGATAAATGTAGAAAATGGCAACCTCATTTTACGGCTGTTCTAGCAAATTAAGGAATTTTCGCTTTACTTATCGCTTGAGCGGATCTAAATTGCCAAATAGCCGACCAGACAGTGAGTTTATTTTGATGCAAAGGCTTGTCTTTAGTCACTTGGAAATCTCCGGTCGGTACTTTGAATGCAGCGATTTTTCTAATTTACTTGACCCAAAAAAAAAAGCATGCACTGTACACTTGAAACGACGAAATGGTTAACCTTATATAATACTGGCATATATTTTACATAAATATTTTTTTTTTTACATGAGTCCTTTGTAGATGTTAAAAAAATTTTCTAAATTCACTATATTCGAAATATCTTTTGGTCCGATGTTCGACTATATTTCTGTTGTTCGTTTGATATTCTGTGACGCCTTTTGATCGGTATTTTCCCGATGTTTGAGTTCTCTTCATTTACAATACATCAGAATGAAATTCTTTTCTTCCTGTTTATAGATCATCGGAATATCTGCTGCAAAACAATCTCAAACTCTGTTGGATGTTAAAAATTTCCATTCAACAACTTAGCACATGAACATTGCATATACATGGCGCTGGCTCTATTGCTGGTAGTAATAATAAAAAGAAGGAGAAATTAACACAAGGAAACATCAACAAATTTACAAAATTATTTTTCATAATCGTAAAGTGAAATTGCCAGTTTGACCTTTTGACACTGTTGATCGTGAATAAAGATCATTATGATCCCAAGCAGTATCGAGGCATGTTTATGCGTAGTAAATCGAAATATTTTCTTCGATATGTGACAGCAAGTGAGAAATGGATCCATTACTTCACTAGGTGATTGGAGAGGACAAGCAGCTGGCCAATATCCTCAAAAGTGCCTGAAAGCACAGCAATCGGTTGGAAAGGCTTCCGAACTATGGATTGTAGGTTGTGTAACATTCTCCAACTACCTCGATTTGACTTACAGCGAATAATGTCTATTCACTGACCTCAATGGAGTTCCCAACAATGAGAAATGAAGAGATTATCGCTGAAGTTGTACCCGGAGCTGAAGCTAATATTGATAAAAAATAATTTAATCTTTGTTGGGGCCGGGACTTTTTAACAGATTGTTGTGAGGTCTACTGAAGTTGATTAATTTTTGTTTTAATATTAATTTTTTTTTAGATCATAGAGAGTTATGACACCACATAAAAAACATAAAACCCCCAAGGATGGAATTATGCTTACTTTTATGGAAGGTAACTGGGATCTAGTGATAAAGCGCGAGGCACAGAGACAGATAATTAATTTCTAAGGGCTTGAAGAATTTTAGTTTTTTGTACTAATAAATTCGCCGAATAAAGTTCGCCCTACCTTTACATATAGACATGTATCAGCACCAGCCGCAAGACTAAGGCAGCCATAAGATCGTGAGAATATTTCATTCGATTTCAAAACTAGTAGCAAGAGCAGGAAAAATAACTTTAGTAGTGATCTTTAGCTATTCAAATAATAAAGATTGTATAGGGAAAAGTCTTTGGATAATACTGATCGACCATAGAAAGTACGAAAGAATATTTTTTTTAAATTTGCATATTTAAATAAATTTTTTCTACATTATACACCTGAATGTAGGAAAAATTTATTAAAATTTGCAAATTTACAAAATTTATTCTTTCCTACTTTCCATGGTCGATCAGTATTATCCAAAGACTTTTTCCTATACAATATTTTTTCCTACTTTCCATAGTCGATCAGCTTAATATATATTATATAACTGGCGCTGTGTAATGGCTGAAGCGATTTTCGGCAGAGCTTCTCCTCCAGTTTGAGGTTTTTTTCTTTCTGTTTTTCCAACAAATGGAGGGACCTACAATTTGTACAAGCCGCCTTCGAATAGCTGATGGTTTTTATGAGGAGCTTTTATTTGATGTCAGAAATTTAACCGGAAGGTTTGATATTTCCTATCGAGGGGCGATCGCAATTAGAAAAATTAGTTTTCCATAATTTTGGTTGTTGATTGGACCATGACTAGAACGCTAACCTTCCCACTGTCATTTTATGTATGTAAGCACAATACTGTGCGAGTTAATATATAGCATGTAGTACATGATAAGGTAGGCAAATATTTCTATCAACCAACAACAACATATTTGCCATATCAGCCGCACATCTCCCGCATGAGTAAATTTATACATATTTTGATCGCTTATATCTATATGTACATAGTTATGTATGTATGCTCCTGCAATTCATCTGCTTCAACTACCAATCATTTCGATCTCTTGATAAACGAATCTCAGCTGTTTGGCTAAAAACATACCTATTTTTATTAGTACATACTTACTTATTGTACAAAACTCTCTTATACTGCTTTCAAACCAGTTCAACTCTGACAGAAGCCACACTGCATTCTCTCAACTCTCATTTCAAGCCACGTTATTTCTCTCCCTTGTGCAATTTTGTTTATTTGCGCCACTGTGCATCAAAACAAACTTACCAGGAGATCACAGCCAGGCAAAACAAAGTGGCTTAAAATAGCCATTAGGGTTGGTAAGTGAGCTTGTCTCATACATACATACAAATATATCTACACATTGAGCCGGCATAAAGCTAAGTGTATGATCTGATCAACTTGGATAAAAGAGAGTGGCAATAAACTCTGCTACGTCGCGAAATGACGCTATCAACATTCTCTCATAATTTTGTTGTCCGGTCACTCTCGCTCTCGACAGTGGATCGATAACAAAAAGAGCAGACAAACCAAATACTGAAAACAACAAATGTTGATATTATTCACCTGTATAAAAAATGGGTATACTGAGCAATAACAACAGCAACAACTGCGTACAGCAGAAGCGACCGTTTCGAGTCAACACGAAGAAGAAGTAACATAACAATTACAACAACAGTACAACACAGGTATGATACCAATACATATGTATGTATTCACTATAGTCAGTCAGCCAGCCATACAGGCGTTTATATATAGCTATTTGTATGTATGTGTGTTTGATTGTATATATTTTTTATTATACGTTGACGGCAGGTAAGCAAAAGGCAACAGCAATACGGCAAAGTGAGGTTCGTCTGCGGCAAAACACTGTTGTCCAATCAGTCTGAACTCGGTTACCGACAACGATGAAACACACGGCGGCGTTTGATTGTCTCACTTTACGGCTTTAAGTTAAAGAGACTCGTTGGTTGGTTCTTCTTCGCAAGTTCGCACGTTCATTTCCTGATCGCGCCGCGTACACCTTTGACGCGTTTCGTGTTTTAATGCTTTGTTGCTTTGATCGACCGATTGGACCAAAGTTGCTGCGATCACAAGCGACAATTCGTCGTACATACATTCCTGTATATATGCAAATAATTCGCATTTAAAAATAATTTGTGTGCGAATTGAAATTTTTTTTTTTGAGAAATAAAAAATTACAAAAAAATTACAAAAAATTACAGTGACATTCCTTAGTTTTCTTCTGCGCCTGCATTGTTTGCAAGCCGTCGCAATTAACGAAAAAAATACGAAGAAATTATTTCAACAACAATTCGCTTAATTTGCATGAATGCATACAAAAGTAAGGAAAGTGAGAATTTCCATTGATGAAAAATCGAAGAAAAAATCTTCTCAACAAAATATTTACCCAAAGCAAATACTATGAATGGTGTTGCAAAGTGACGAAGTAAAAAGGAGCCGTAGGGTGCTCTGAAAGAGCTTCTGAACACAGCTGTGCTTTTGCGTGGGCGAGCAGCAATGCCGTCGCTGAAATGTTTCCAAGGCAAAAAGAGTAAATATTTATTAGCGACATTTATTATTGGGAATAACTAAAGTTTTTCTATGGAAAATTATGGTAAATAAAAGTACTAAATAAGATATCAACAAAAGAAGAACGTGCTAAACAGTAATGATTTTTTTAAAATATACACATATTTTTATCAAAAGTTCCCTACGAAAAGTGCTTGTATGTAAATATGTACACATATGTGATTGTGAAAAAATTTGACAAACAAGCGTTAAGTGATCCACAAAATGTTTTGATTTTTTAAATAAAGATACATATGTATGTATTGATAAGTAAACAAGTGCCATCCGTGCATGCATTTTTAAACAACGTACATATATTTATATATATACGTACATACATATAAAAAACTAAATCTGAATGATTCAGCAACAATTTAGTAAATAATAACTTGTAGTGGTATGAAAAATTGGAAAATTTAATCTGTGAAAAAAGCAACGTATTATTTCGCAAAGTTTAAAAAAGGTGGCAGCCTGCTGCTTCGACGCTCAAAAAGCAAACGCATAAAAAAGTTTAAACCAAAGTGTTTTAAATGCATACGGATATAATTATTGGCGATCAATTTGTGCCATCAACAAATTATTGGGTAATGCAGGTGAGTGAATTCTAAATAAATTACAATACGCGGATATTTAAAGAGATGAAAAATAATAAAATATAATGATAAAAAAAATCTAAGAAACTTATATATTAATGAAATATAAACAAATTGAAAGATTTAAATAACATAACATATTAAAACGAAGCAATGTAAAAGAATAAAAGATAATAACTTATTATAAAATCAAAAAAATTTATCTCTAAAAAATACAAATAAAACTAAAATGAAAATAAAATAAAATCAAATAAGAAAAAAATAATACAAATACAATAAAGCAAATAAACAAAATAAAATAATTAAAATCAATTACAATTAAGACAAGAAAACACAGAACAAAGTATACAAGAGTAATAACAAAACAAAGCATGGTAAAAAATAAAATAAAATATAAAAAAAATCCTAACTTATTATATTAACTAGAAGAAAAAAAATAAGATATATAATAAAATCATTTAAAACTAAATAAAGTAAAACTAAATGAAATGAAATGAAATAAAAAAAGCAAAAAAATATGAATAAAACCAAATAAAACAAAAAATAAAATAAAAGAAATCTAATGAAAAATAAAAAAAAATTTAAAAAATTTTACAAAACAAAATTAAATAAAAATAAATATAAAACAAAATAATAAAATATTAAAAAAAAGTTAAAACAAAAAAAATTAAAATGAAATAAAAAAATTAAATGAGAAAACTTGAAATAAACTAAATAAAATAAAACATAATAGAATAAAATCGATTCAAATAATATAATATAAAAGAAAATAAAGTAAAAAATAAAAAAAGAAAATAAAATAAAAAAAAATATTAAAAAAATAAAAAAAAAATAAGATTAAAAAATATATAATAAAACAAATTAAAGTAAAATAAAACAAAAAAAAAAAGAAAATATAATAAAAAACAAATTAAATAAAACAAAATAATAAATTAAATTAAATCAAAATAAAATAAAATAAATTAAATCAAAATAAACTAGAATAGAAACAGAACAAATTAAAATGAAATAAAATAAAAAAAAATGAATAAAAAAAAATAAAATAATATAAAACAAAATAAATTTAAATATGTATTATATAAAAATAATTAAATAAATTAAAAACATATATAAAATAAAATTAAATTTAACAAAATAAAATGACGTGAAATTAAAAGAAAATAAAGAAATTTAAATAAAACGAAAAAAATTAAATTTATTAGTATAAAACAAAATAATATCCAAAAAATCAAAAAAAAAAAAAAAAAACAAAATAAAAAGAAAACAAATTAATCAGAGTGTAGTTATTTAATGGACATTAAATTAGCCTAATTTACTTCAAGTTCATAGATTAATTTATCTTTATCAACAAATTATTTATGACTATATCAGCGTACATAGAATAAATGGCAACACGGCGGCACTTTTCGTACAGATTTATTCCTTTGCCAATTTAATTACTGTTATAAAACTGAGATTATATTTTAGTTTTGTTGTTATAATTTGTCGATATTGCTTTTTATTAGAGTATAGTACAAGAGTGTTGTCAAAGACTTTTTTGGTAAAAAACACAAAAAAAAATTAAGTGAAGTATTCAGCGATACAAAGAATTTAAAAAAATTCTTTTGGTTAAATATTTGTAGAAAGTATACTAGTAAAAGCTTCTTAGAGTTTTATATTCTGCAATAATTTGTTTATTTGTAAATAGTATGGAATATTCCGTTGTTGAAAAATGACGCACATGATTTGGTGATACGTGATTAAAATGGTCTCCTGGCGATTTTAAATAACTGCTATTGACTAGAAAAGAGCAGTATTTCTAATAGAAATTCTTGACGAATTCCATAAGATTGCAAGAGGCATTAATATGTCATTTAAAATAATTAAATTTAACTTTTCAATTTTATTAAGATAATCACCTGATAAAAGTGAAAACAGTATTTTTGTTCTATTTACCTTTTTCCGTTTTCAAGCCGTCGGCAAAACATTAATCAATTTGTAGGTGTCGTCGCGTTATCGCTTGTCAGCTCATATCAACACCTTCTACGCTGTTGCCAAGCAGGACCTATTTGTAAAAACACAATCATACACACAAACTCATATGATTGTACGAGATATATGAACACTGATACATTGAGACGCGTTATTCCTTCAGTAATTCGCTCTTACCCCTCATACACGCAGTTATAGGCTCCTGAACTGAGTTACATACAAGAAGAGCCGCTGTGAACTAAGCCATGGAAAAGTCCATAAAAAGGAGAAGAAAAAAGCAATAAATACACATTTGTATATGTGTGTATATATATGTATGTATGCAATATGCCTTCGTACCGAGTCATAAAAGGTAACTTGTTTATTTACACGTGTTGCTTGTTTACTTGCCACATTTGCTTGCAAAGTTTTGTGTAAATCTTTACTTCGGCTGTCCGTCCGCCCGTTCGTCCATTCGTATGGCTAGCTGGCCAACAGTGCATCTACGGCCACGAGCTCGTGGTAGAACAGCAGCGGCATTTGGCTTACATTTTTTTTTTTTTTCGCTTCACAAACATCTGCGTTGCAGAAAAATGAAGGCAGAATGATTGCAGGTAACTTGCTGTTATTGTTATGGTAGTAACTTTTTTTTCAACACAGCACCATTGTCACACTTGTCATATTAATGCCTCTTTAAGCGAAGACTGTAATGTTGCAATGTCAATGCTCAAGTCTGTTGCAGCAGTTTATGTAGTCATTTAGTGTTGTTGTTGTTGCTGTTGTTGCAGCGGACATCCTTTTATATTTCTGTGCATTAAAACGGTTGTTGCTGCATTTATTTTTCTTGTATTTTCTTCACTTCTCGAAATTAAGCGCGAAAGCGAAATAAAAAACAATCCAACTGGCGTATTTCAGTGTTGCAAATACTTTGGGTTTGTGAAATGAAAAAAAAAAATATATGTTTATTTTAAAGTGTTAATATTTCATTTACTTATCGCGCTTGTTAAGCGTTTTCCTGTGACAAAAGACACTTAATTATTTACTCAAAAATATATTTATGTACATACAAGTAAATGCATATATATATATATATATTATATATATACCATAATACACCAATAAATATATAATACGTGCTTCATATGTTGGCATCTTTTTCATATCTCAAGTCACGTGACTGTTATGGGTGGGCAAATATTTGCACGTCATTTCTCAAAACAAGCTTCAACCGGAAACTGTTATCGAAAGCTGAATGTGCAAAATGTTTCAAATACAACAGCAATTATACAAAAAAAATTCTTAAAATAGATAGGAATCAACCAAAAATACGGAAAAAGCTGGAATTAACATTAAATAAAGAAAGTAAATTAAAAAATATCTAAGCAAGAAAATTCATTTATTTTTATAAAAAATATTAACGTTCAAATAATTAATTAAATTCTCATTCTTTTCTGAGCCAAATGGCTTTTGTAAACAAACGCCCTTTGTCACTGGATGCTCCGCAAGCAGTATTTTTCTTAAAATCAATTTCGTAAATCGTCTTTCCTGTGAGAAACAAATTTGAGCGAATTTTCGTGAAAGCACGACCTGCTGAAACCTGTCAAAATGGTCAATACCGAGGTCGTAACCAGCTTACAACAATTAAGATGTTCTTCAGAAAAACTTCCAAACTATATAAATCACACATATTTTCTGTTGTTTCATTATCATAACGCCCATTCACATAAGTTTTGGATAATCAGGCAAAAATGTTCAGAGCTTGGTTGGAAAGTTTTCATGTACTCCCATACAGCTTCGATCATTTGGTAAAAAACTAGTCTACCTAAAATGAAAATCATTAGGTAAAGTTCTTTGCCGATAAGCCTCAGAAATTCTAGGGGAATTATCAAGCTCATATTAGACAAGAAGTATTTGATTAAAATAAATGTTCAATGAAGCAAACTATTCTTCAAAGATATACCAATTGGGAGCGCGAAAACTTTTTTGTTATGAAAATCAATAAATAAAACTCAAGAACTTTGTATAACTCAACATAAAATATGAGCAATGATACTTTTATTATTTTTCGATAACTTTGATATCTTCACTTTCCCAGAAACATTCCTTTTCTAAATCGAACAACCAGTTCTGTTGAGTTTAAAAAGTTAAATCGAAATGGAAACAAATCGTTTTGACTTTTGTGAAATAATTCTTCAAAATCAATTTTTTAAAACTTCATTTGATTTCGATAGTTGTCGAAGGAATGCATTCGAATCATTAGTTAAAGGAGTCCCCATAAACTAAACACTGGCATAATCAGAGAGCATAGAGCAGAGAGCATAATCCTTTTTCTCTTTTTTGATTATTGTCTTCGATTACCCATTATGGCGGAACATTTTGGTTGGCTTGTGAGCGTTTTTGAAATAATTTACAGAAGCTAATCTGTTCGTCAACACCAGTAATGATTCTATAGAGAAATGGGTCGTTTAAATTATAATTGAGCATTGAGTGAGACTTGGAGGATTATTTTTATTTGTGGTGAAGCCAAATATTTTTTTAGTTTACATTACCAAGTTATTGTATGGTTATATGCATGTCAGTTTCGATTAAGGCCTCATTTTGTCATTATCAGTCATTTGTAGCAGTATAATGAATTTTTTATGAAACACTTATAATTCCAGAACGACAATGATTGACAGTTGCAGACCAAAGAAAGTCCGTTATCAAAAACCATAGTGCTACAAACTGTCGGCGACAGAATCGTCATTGTCATTTTCAAAGAAATAAGGTCCAAACACCTCTCCGGACGAAAGAGCGCACCAGACAAGAAGTGATTTTCCGCCTCTCTTCAATTTGGTATGAGTGCTCGTAGCCCTAAATAAAGGATTTTTTGCTTATCGTATGTATCCGCCGAGTGTGAAATGTGTATCGTCGTTGAAGGAAGTTTCGTTGGAAAACTCGCTGTCTTCTGCTCAAATACCGAATCGACGAATGTATGTACGGCGTTGTGAATGTACAGCACTGGTTTTAATTATTGTACGAGCGGGACATTATATGGATGCAGATGTAAG